TAGAAAGGGAAAGTAGTACGAGATAAAAATGCAACTCACGATAATGATCTCTTTATTTTTGCTATTTTTTTTTAGATTTCTTTTGATTGGGGTAACTTTCACAATCTTGGCATGCAATTAAACTTCAAATTTTCTTGAAGTAAAAATTATTTTCTTTTATTAATTCTTCCTCCAAGCTTTATTATTTTTTTTTTGTAAATTTTTACTCGGGTTGTGGGTGACTAAATATTTGTTTAACTGAAAAAAAATGCTTATTTTTGTAAAAATGCAACAGAACGTATTTTATGACATTATGCCCATATGTGATACTTTGCAAAAAAACTACATTAGGTAATTTAAAAATTGTTTCGTTGCATAGTATGAAAAAAAGTACTTAAACTAACACATTAGACTGTCTATATTTAACCACATCGAAAGTGAAACTATTAACAACCCAGGTAAAGTATATCTGGTAAAAACAACAGAGTGGTATACTATTTCCTGAAACATACAGGGTTATTCATAAATCCCTCCGGGGTTTCGAAGCGTTATTGTAAAAGAACGAAGATGAATATGGCAAGAAAGAACATATGAAATTGTTCCAAAAGTATTCAATTTTTAATTTAAGCAGTTACCGGTAGATGGCAGTAACATGTACCACTGAAGCCAGTTGTAGTAAAGAAAAAAGGCGTTTACAGGCGGAGGGAATTATGAACAACCCTTTATATGGATTTGATGGTGGAAACTGTATTTTTTGATGGCAGAATGAACAGGTTTGGGGCAGATTTTCCACCAGGTTTTGATAGGTGACCATAGGAATCAACTTTCAGATGACCATCACAGTTAAAGTGAGTGCTGGCAGATTTGGTAGGCCGCTGTGTTCGAATCCGTCCTAGAAGTGTTCTACGCACTGGTGCCACACTAGAAAGATTTCAAGACTGAACTTATTTTTTGACTACTTAACACANGATGGCAGTAACATGTACCACTGAAGCCAGTTGTAGTAAAGAAAAAAGGCTTTTACAGGCTTAGGGAATTATGAACAACCCTGTATATTGATTTGATGGTGGTAACTGCATATTTTGATGGCAGAATGAACAGGTTTGGGGAAGATTTTCCACCAGGTTTTGATAGGTGACCATAGGAATCAACTTTCAGATGACCATCACAGTTAAAGTGAGTGCTGGCAGATTTGGTAGGCCGCTGTGTTCGAATCCGTCCTAGAAGTGTTCTACGCACTGGTGCCACACTAGAAAGATTTCAAGACTGAACTTATTTTTTGACTACTTAACACAGTCAAGTGTTGTTTACCAGAATCTTCAGAAATTCAGAGCTATCTGTCTCCGAAATGCACCTTTCTATGATAATGGCTTGCATATTAAATCAATGATTTGTTTATTTTTCTAAAAGAAACTAAACATGTTTCTCTATTTTATGAATTTATTTTTTGCAACGAACGAAACAAAAATAGCATCACTAATCATCTTATACTAATCATAGAGTAAAATCACTGATATAAATCAGTAGCTTTTTCCTAAAGTCATTCACTTCTCTATTTTTCATTTCAACATTATTTTCTGTCTTAGCTCAACAAATTTCTTTTTTTTAGAAAGAAGAAATTAATCGTAATTTAACTTCAGATAGCATTTCAAAACATGGGGGAAAGAGACCAGATGATTAAAGTTTATTAGTATTTATTTTTAATTGAAAATATTTGTCGCATTTTTAAGGAAATAAAGGAAAATTTAATCTAAAAAAAACTATTGGGAAAGAGAGATTTTTTTTCTTCCTTCAAATGGCAGGCACTGAACATTATTCTTCGCCTTAGAAGATGCCGGAATTGTTACTCATTTCACGTTACTCAGTGGGCACCAGTGAACCAAAGTCACGGGGGCGAGCAACATTACCCATGCCACACTGCCACAAACTCGTTTATAGGGTGGGCCACATTCACACATCACGCGCAACAGAGGACAACACAGGAGAGAGAAATATCCATGCCCAGAGCGGGATTCGAACCCGCAGCCATTGGCTTCGCAGTCAGGCGCGCTAACCGCTCGGCCACCTGGCCGGCGGGAAAGAGAGATTAGTTGATGGATCCACGAATTTTTCTTCTTCTCAAGACTGATTTCAGTTCCCAGGACTGAAGAGTGACACCTATGGTTCTATGGGATTCAGATCTGGGTTCTGAAATGCCAGACCGGTTTTTAAGCAACCATTTCGTCAAACTATAGCTGCGCAAGTCTAATGAACCTTTCCCGAAATATTACCAGAGAGTTGAGGGAGAAACTTTGCGCAGAAAGTCCACACGAATCTCTGAGTTAGTTTTTAATCTCAAAAACTGAGATAACTTTGTAAAAACGCATCCACATCATTTTTTTCCCTTTTTTTAAAATAACGGCGGGCACTGAACTTTTCGTTCTTCGCCATAGAATTGTTACTCATTTAGCGTTACCCAGTGGGCACCTGTGAACCAAAGTCACAGAGGCGAGCAACGTTACCCACGCCATACTGCCACAGACCCGTTCATAGGGTGGGCCACATTCACTCATTCACACAACAGAAGACAACACAGAGAGAGAAACATCCATGCCCAGAGCGGGATTCGAACCCGCGGCCATTGGCTCCGCAGTCAGACACGCTAACCACTCGACCACCTGGCCGGCGCACCCACATCATAAACGGATCCACTTTTGCATGGGTGACAGTCGAATATTTTAAGTCAGGTAGTGTATTTCATATATAAATGTTCAAAACAATGTATTTGAAAACCAAAAATGATGAGCCTTCACGAAACATCGATGGATTTTGGAAGAAAAAAAATTTTTTTTGGTACTAAATATGTTTTTGTCTTCTTTTACTCGCAAAATCCGGTCAATATCGACCATTTTTGTATATTGTTTTGTTTCTGCGCATTTTCTGTTTTATTAACCTTAAAGCAAATGAAAGATTTGCGCATTGTTTTTAAAAATCTTTTTGGTTGGCCGCCTGTGTTTTTACACTCTTTCTCTGAGAACTTCGATTTTTGACATTAGAAAATAAACATCCTGACAAACGCGAAGAAAACTAAATGTTTACATATTGAAATATTTCAGACTTGCATGCTAGAAAGATTCAAGGTATTGATATATTCTAGATAAAAAAAAATTGATTACATGTTTAGCACGCACTAGCTGCATGAAAATGGTCATTTTTGTATAGCTAGTGCTGGTTAAGTGTACAATCAAGTATTTTCCCCCCACAATGTTTATAAATATCTTAAATATTTCTTTCATTTAAACTTCGGTGATCCAGATAAACTTCAGCAGGAAAAAGAAGAAAAAAAAGATTACGTTTGCGCTGTTTGCCAGACAAATGAATCCACACGCGTTCTTCTGTTTTGTGGTTAAATCCACGCATAAGCTTAATTTCCGATTCCTTCTCCGGATAAGTTATTCACTCAGTTTTCCACTTTTTGTCATAATTGCATTTATGAAGCTACATGTATCCCAGCAAATAATTGCAGCAGCATGCGCTTTCTAACCACACATTTCTTTTTAATGAATTCTTTTAAAGGAGTAAATAAGTTATAAAAAATTCAATTTATACAACCAGATAGGAATTATTTTGATTTGTAAACATTTTATTTACATACACATTTGGAACAATTAGTTCATGAAATTTCCCTATAAACACAGTTTTAAATGTTATTGCTTGGCGAAACAATAGTTTTAGATCCTTTATTGTATCGTGAACTGTATGAAATCCAAAGAAAAATTTTGAAAAATAAAAAAAATAAAAAACCTATCTAGGGGGTGAAAATGGAGGTGGAATTTCAGTTTTAAAAGATAAATTTAAATGCATAGTTTGTTTGATAGTATCAGAAAATTGCTTTTAGCCTTTCATTTCTGCCCAGTTTGTTTCAGTTCTTTGTTGCCAACTCGTGAAGAGAAATGTCATCTGTTTTGGAACTACATACGTATATATGGACAATTAACATTAACAAATTTGCATGATTCAATAAAGCTATTGCATGTGATAGATAATTTTAGTAATTGTTTTAGGATGAAAACTTTGCAAACAATTCATCCCAGATTTCTTTACAAACACTTGGGTTTTTTCCAGTGGTTATTTGTTGGAAGTAGCAAATAATCTCACAAAGGTTCTCATCAACCAAAAAGAATAGTTTCTTCATTGTGTTCGAACTCCGTGATTAATCCTTTGTGCCAATCAACTAAAGGTTCTCTATTGCCATGGCAACCGAAATGTACCCATTATAACAGGTGCATGTGGGGTAAATGAGAAATCTTCCAACCTCTTTTGTAGAAACGGTAATCAAAATCTTTGAGAACAAATCTTTGGGAAGGCATTATAAATTTAGGGTTGATTTTGACGAACAATTTATACCCAATGGATAAAGAATAGACATATTCTAAAATAATTCTGAAAAACATTTTTCAGTATTTCTTTCAGATTTGTGTCATTTCTTCAATTTTTTTTTTCGGAATAAAAATATATCTCTATTTTTTTCAATTGGGTTTCGCGTTTTTACATACAAAAGACCTTGTTAAAAAATGCTGAAATTATTTGAATTGTAAACAAAAATATTTATTAAAGAACTTTGCTTTTAAAAATGAAAAATAAATCTAATTTTTTAATCTTATGCTCCTATAATAGTTTCATTGGCAATGATGATTAGTAATTAGAGCGAAAAAGTTACAGTGAATTGAAAAGTTTAAAATCTCAGCAGTAAAAGTGTACACTAAATTTAAATTTTCCTTCCTCTGATTCTTCACAACAGTAAATTCGTAAAAATAACATACTATGAAGCTTCAGTATGAAAGAAAATATGAACTAAGTATAGAATAGAAAAGTTTTTTTTTTCGAATAAAAATGAGCTTAATATGGAAGAAAGACTTAGGTATGTCGATTTTGTTATCTTTCTTCGACTGTATTTCCTATAGGTGAACAGTCTCTCTCAAAAGAAAAAACGTTAAATATTGAGTCAAGATTAAGAAAGTAATACTTCATACATTTTATAGGATAATGAGCACACAAATGGAGGCTTTGAGCGTAATTGGCGGCCTTCTGCTTCATCAAGGATCCCCCGAAAAATCAGCCGAGATCAAGGATCAACCGAGAAGTTGACATCCTCTGTCGCACCTCCAAATAGTAAGCTTTTTTTTAAACCGTTCTTACTAGTTCTTTGGTTATGTTCTCAGAAAATTCCTTTATGTAATAATTGATAATCACTCTCTATCTCTAAAAAGAAAAGAAAAATAAAATTGCTGAATTCGTTTTGATTTGGTTTAGGCGTTCTCATTTCGGGTGGTGATAAAAAATTGTTGCAATTCAGACGTCGAAAACTAATGGGTGTTGATTATTTCCATTTGAAATGTAATTTTATTTCATAACAGTCTTTGAGCAACCGACCTAATTTTTTAGTTTATGCCTACCAATGTTCAACTACGTAGCCTTGTAATTTAGCACCCAATCCAAAAAACTCCAGGATTAAATAATATTAGGGGAAATTAGACTTCGAAAAAGACTTTTTGGAGGGAACTAACCCGCATTTGCGTAACGTGGAGAGGAAAACCACGAAAACGTCCCGCGGTAACCCTGACGGAAAGGGTTCTCTAACCCATGATCCGTTTACCACTGAGGATATTTTACGTTATCATTGTGGTCGGTGCGAGCCGGGTGCGGAATTCGTATATAGAGAGCCATTACTGGTATTCGAACCCGGTCACCTGGTTGAGAAGCGAGGGCTCCCATAGCCACTGCGGCTCTTCCAGTTAACTCTTGTCGATTTCGAGATCACCATAATTGACTAGCTAGTACGTACGTCGCTAATAAGACGTGAGAGTCAAAATGAACACCTGCCGCACGTCTTCACATATGCACCTTTTAAACGTCACATAAATATCAACTATGTAGCCAACTACAATATAGCTATGTAACACATATTTGGTTCATAAATTTAATTATCTGTAGTCCAAAATACGAAACCTACGAAATTTATTTTGAAGCCTTACAAGTTTGTTATCAGCCAATAAGAATTCACTAACTTAAACTCGTGAGTCTTTTATTAAAACCAAGTGAGTCTTTTATTTTCCGGAGCCTGAAACGGGATAATTTTCGTTCGATGCCTAAACTAGGAACGCCAAAGTCGGTACATTATCTTTTATTTTATCTTTATGGGTTTGAGATAATGTCTTAGGTAAATATATGCGTGAGTGGAAAAAAACCATTTTAATGTGTTCAAATTCTCTGGAATTAACCCCTTGCTTACGGCTGGTACACTAAGTAAACCAGAATGGCTTTATCATGCCTAGTGCCATAAACTAAAGTTTAAAAATTCTAAACATGTCACATGAATTGAAACAAAAATAATGAATTATAAAATTGAAATCGTCAAATTGTTTTAATTGGACTAAATATTTAAAATTCTTTAAATTGGACTAAACGTTTAAATTCTACTAAATTTGCGATTCTCTCATTTTATGCAATGAAAAAGATTTTATAATTAGAAATATAACCAAAAATCTGAAATTATTTTTTAAAAAAAATGCTTACAAAGCTCTTCTTGAAAAAAAAGAGACTTTTATTGGAGCCTTCTTCAGTACATTCCTTTAACATTTTTGCATAAATTATAAAAATTTGTTTGAAACCAAGAAACTTTTAGAGTTAGTGAAAACACGAAACTCTGAACTGAGACACATCCAACAATATGTTTATTCGGTAACAGACTTTTTAAAAGAAAAACTGTCATATCGGATTCCATCTTTTTAAAATAGTTTGTTTTCCCGACGAAGAAGAAAAACAAAAATATCTGAGTAAGTAAACTTCACATGAAAATAAATCTCGATACTCTTTTTGACAATACTTTAAAAGATTTAGTTTGTTCTTTCCTCTTTTTTTCTTCTCGAAAGGGGGGACGTTAGAAAATAAAGAAAAAAAATATGGTTAAATATAAAATTTTACTCTTGAATCTCGAAATTCGGGAACTCTCTCTCTCTCTCTTGTCTAAATGTCGCTGTCCTTTAATGGCAAAGTCCTATCTCTTTGTTGAGGACACGTACTTTTTTGTTGCTGATAAGAAAAAGAGTTCTCGAATTCACTCAGGGAATACTTTTCCCTCGGTCAATATTAATCACAGGGAACATGAGAACTGGAAAAATCCCGAGCAATATTTTTAAGAGAAAGCTTAAACTTTTGAAAGGGAGTTTTTATCGATTTTGAGGGATTTCTTCTCTTACTCCCAATACTTCGGGAATTCTTATGGCTTCTCTCCGAAAATTCGGAGCCATCCAGAGTTTTAATTTGTTTTGTTGTGCTTGCTTTTATATGTATATGTGTACAGTATCTGCATCTTTTAGAATGGGTTTGTTGTTGAACTTTTTTTTGAGTTTGCAGTGAGCTCGAAAAAATGAAATATTAGAAATATTGATGCTAATATTTTCCCAACAATGCATTGGATATGTTTGAAAATATGCACACTAGGGGTATTTCAAGTGATTGTGATACGGTTACATTGCGATTTTATACTTAAATACAGGCATAATCACGACAACTAACAGGGCAATTGTTTTGGACATAGTTAATAAAATTTTTTATGGTATAATTGGCATAACTCCAGATTGTTAAACATTATAAAAGAGACGCTTGGGCAGATAGAGAGCATTTCAGGGTTAATACTCTGAATGGCTACTTTATTATGACCACCTGACAGTTTTATGCAAATGAGGTTTCGCGTTTCATTGTTGCCTCTAGGTGTTATTGTAGTTCATTAATGCTTTTAGACCTTCGTTTCGAGAGCGTGGTAATGTGCTTACGAGATCACATTGTTGTACTGTAGCCATGCATTTCTTGATTTAATAGTCCGTTTAGAACTGTAGTTAGTTCCCGCATTATTTTTTTTTGAGCATATATGCAGAAGATGTCATACAAAAGACNTGAGTGACTTAGCGAGATATGAGTGACTTAGCGAGATATGAGTGACTTAGCGAGATATGAGTGACTTAGCGAGATATGAGTGACTTAGCGAGATATGAGTGACTTAGCGAGATATGAGTGACTTAGCGAGATATGAGTGACTTAGCGAGATATGAGTGACTTAGCGAGATATGAGTGACTTAGCGAGATATGAGTGACTTAGCGAGATATGAGTGACTTAGCGAGATATGAGTGACTTAGCGAGATATGAGTGACTTAGCGAGATATGAGTGACTTAGCGAGATATGAGTGACTTAGCGAGATATGAGTGACTTAGCGAGATATGAGTGACTTAGCGAGATATGAGTGACTTAGCGAGATATGAGTGACTTAGCGAGATATGAGTGACTTAGCGAGATATGAGTGACTTAGCGAGATATGAGTGACTTAGCGAGATATGAGTGACTTAGCGAGATATGAGTGACTTAGCGAGATATGAGTGACTTAGCGAGATATGAGTGACTTAGCGAGATATGAGTGACTTAGCGAGATATGAGTGACTTAGCGAGATATGAGTGACTTAGCGAGATATGAGTGACTTAGCGAGATATGAGTGACTTAGCGAGATATGAGTGACTTAGCGAGATATGAGTGACTTAGCGAGATATGAGTGACTTAGCGAGATATGAGTGACTTAGCGAGATATGAGTGACTTAGCGAGATATGAGTGACTTAGCGAGATATGAGTGACTTAGCGAGATATGAGTGACTTAGCGAGATATGAGTGACTTAGCGAGATATGAGTGACTTAGCGAGATATGAGTGACTTAGCGAGATATGAGTGACTTAGCGAGATATGAGTGACTTAGCGAGATATGAATGACTTAACGAGATATGAATGACTTAACGAGATATGAGGATCAGTGAATTAATGGAATATGTGGGAGAGTGGGATAAGACTGAGAATATCGACAGTGTCGAAATTAGTTCTTTTTTTTAAACGGACGAACTCCGAATTACACTTTGCTGGTCAAGAAAGATGCGCGTTGTTGATAATTCACAACATCTTTGAAGATAAGTTCGCTTCATTAAAACTATTTAATGCTTTCTTTTTGTTTTTATACGAGCCCTATTTGTTGGTTATTACAATTACAAAATTTATTTTTAGTTTAGATTATTATGCATGTACTGAAGATTCATTCTTCAATGAACAATAAGGATTCTGTTCAACAATGGCACGGTTTTGTGACGTTTCGATAGTCTCTGTGCTCGGGGTAAGATCGGATACTACTGGGTTTTACCCCACCCCTTGATATGAGTCTATTCTGGACCCAGAACAGCAGTAGTGCAGTGGAGGAAGAAGATAACTAAAGCCCAAAACTGAACTAAGGCTCTTATGGGCTTCAGGACAAAATTTATTGCGTACCTCTTCCTCAAAGAAAAAAAGCCTTATTTTTATATTTATTAAGTTTAAGACCCTTTATACAAAAATCTAGTTTAATACAGATATAAAGAAATACACTGCAATTAAAAAAAACTAGTTGATAAACACTGTTATTTTTTGAAAGAAATTTTGGTTGGGTGTTCAGCAGCCCCGAGGCCCTAGATAAAATAGGAGTGACTGCTATTTTTTCCCTGAATGTCTAGTATTTCTAAATTTCCCATGAAATTCACTTTGACATTTCTAAATATAAAAAAAATTTATAAAATAAGTAGTACTCAGGAATGATATATTGTACAAACTAAAAGAAGAATATCTTAATTAAATCTGTTAGTTTCTAGATCAAACGATTTAGCTCCAACAGATTTTCAAATCTTTGCTATCCGGTCTTACGCCATTTTCCTCTTTACATTCTAACAATAAGTGTTTATTTAAGGTATCGTACTAGTTTCTACAACTTTCTTTTTAAATATTAATGTGAAGTTTGAAAAAGCTAGTTTATTTGTTTTATTATGTTTAAAAACTTGAAAAACTAGCAAAAAATAATCATTATTTTCTTTTTATATGGCTTTGCAGGTAAAAATAAGGTATCTTTGCACATACGCCAAACATTGTAAAACAATTTCTATCCTCTAAAACAGAAAAAATCTTAAGGAATTTTATTTAGAAAGCTATTAAACTATTTTATCTTAAAGACAAGTGCATATAATACTGAGGTAGGGATCATTGTAGTTAACAGTTAGCAGTTTTTTAAAAATTTCCGCACTTGTCTTTGCGAAAAAGCATGCATAAAAAA